GCAAATGAGGACAACTGGGGACATCCGAGGACAGCAGAGGACATCAGAGGACAAATGAAACCAACTCAGGCAGTGTATTGAAGCCCAAGTCAGGACAGAAAAGTCTTCATAACAGCAAAATGTTTGGATCTGTGGGACTAGATTACACTCATGCCAACACTCGGCAGCTGTGCTGAGAATCACACTATCCCTATCCAAATTTGACTGGTAATTTGGGGAGGATTCGTAATTTCACTTTCAGCATCATCGTCGTCATCATCAGTAATGATCACGTAGAACCATTTTTCATACAGTCAGATTGTTACTGAACTTACTTTGTACAATGAAATAAAGTAACTTTGCTGTCAAAGTAATGTGTGAATTACATTAACAACCACAATAATAATGTATTCATTATACCGAAAGCTGGACTGAGTGAGGCAACATCAAATTATAAGTGCCGATAATTTTAAGAGCCCACAAGGCTCAATCGTCAATGAATCAAGCCATTTTCGACGTCGTTACTCGCAACAGCCCAATTGGTCACACCAAGAAGGTCATTCTCACATTGGACTCCCCAAAGCTGTTCTTTAAGACAATAACTCTACCTCTTATAAATTCCTTCTCTTTACCTAAGAGTCCAAACTGAGCCTGAAAGACACCGTTGACCGATCAGAGACCTCCGAAATGTCTCGTTTTTTTGGCTACCCTCATGCTAGGATATGGATGGTGTAGAGGGAATTCGGCGTCAATGCGAGGCGGAACGATGAAGCCAATGAAACATTCAGGAAGTGTCGTCGTCTCAACGCCTTTAAATAAGTAGTATCAAGTCCATTCCAGCTCGCGAGTTAATGTTTTATAAAAATGTGAAAAATTACGGTAGCGAAGTTTCTGTACTCGTTAGCCAAGCAAGAACGAGTGTAGACATGTCGTCTTTTAAACTTCATATCAAAAATGTGTGTCTGAACTAGGTTCTATCAAGTCAGCATATTTCAGCAAGAAAGAGTGGCCCAACTGCAGCGATGGTGTGAAGCCTAAGATGATGACATGGTCTGTTGTGTGGCCACGATTGCGTGTAGACTCGGCGTGGGCTGGGTTGTGCAACTTGTCACAATCATCGCGAGAAACTTTGGAAAACATACCTGTTACCGTTTCCTCTGCCCGTGCTTCTTTAGCATGCATCGTCAAAGCTAAAACGCCGGTAGAACACATAATTGCAACGTTGGGTCAGTTCGTTTGAAGAGGCAAATGGAAAGGACTCGTAGGTCGGCCGCATCGGAAACTAGGGGAGAATTGCATTGGAGCGATTGCAGATTTGTGCGAATAGCGGACAACTTCGGTCCGTCACAAGACCAACGCACAAGACGTTTATAGTCTTTGTGCTTGGTGAATTATCGTAGAGCATGGTGTCTTGGTCTGAAGATGTCCATGATATGACGGACCCCGTTGGGGACGTAGGGCGGTGTGCGGAGCACCTACAGTCACACCTTCAAGGTAAGCCCCATACAGCGTCCGGCGAGGCCAACTTTCTAATCCCTTCGACTCGCCTCTTCAAACGAAATGATGTTGTTGACGGTATTCCAACATCAATCTATTGAGGGATTCTTCGAGAACCAGATGAGGCAGTACGAAGTATGTCTTTTGTCGTCTCTCTCAACTAATATCATCATGCTGTACAAACAAGGTCAACTCGTGTTCGTTGGAAAATGAGAAATTTAACGAATTTCATATGAGAAAATAAAAAATACAAATAAGGAGAAAAATTCTAGTTTAAATCTCATACTACCATGGACGGTTAGTACGTGTCAAGTTGAGATTAATCGCAACTGTCTCGTCTATTGAATCTACCAACAAATGTTTAAAGGAAGATCAAGGCACTAGACACATGGCACACAAGCAGAAACACCAGCATCAGTATCCGACAGGCTGTTGCTAAGGCGACAGGTGAATTTCAAGGCAAAGGGCGGAGTTTACAACACAGGTGAACGCATTCACACTCTCGCAACATAGGGGGCAAAAAATAGTTGGCGAGATGCTCCCGCTCATAAAATTACCACTTGGTCATGGCTTGGCGGTTCTTTCTGACGACCGACACGTCATAGAGGCTCATGGAGGCAGTTCCAGCCGGCCTGAGGATGTAAACAGTTGCAGGGCGCCCGTGATTATTATCGACGTAAGCAAGCATTGCAACAACGCCTAGGGCAACCGGGACAATCAGGCAGATAAGAATGTAAACCTGACTTTGAATAATCCCTTAAAAGATTCATGTTGCTGTACCTTCCATGTCGTTTAAAACACGGGGAAAGGCTGCATCGGAAACCGAGTGACGATTGTCCTCAGGTTGTGACTGTTAACTTGTGCGAATAAGTCCTCGACTCACAGTCATCCGACTCCGATGATTGAGTGGTGAGCTTTTTCCTATACAGAAGTGACCTTCAGACCCAGGAGCCATCATTTAGCAGAATTCACAAAAACACTGAATCAAGTAATGCCTCGGTTGTGGCTCTGATGATGTCTGTCACATGAGAGACGAAAGATG